ACTATTATATTAAGAGGTTTTGTTGTCTGCAATTTTGACTTAGTTGATTTATTGAGTTCCGACTTCTATCACGTGCGTGTCGCCTCCAAAATGTTCGTTGATTTATTTCTCCTCTATCAGCATTTCCATGCTGAAGTATGAGAATCTCAGGTACTAGGTTATGTGCGCGAAACCGAGCGTAACGAAAACATCGAGTTGGATTTGTGTTACCATGTTAAAAAAAATGAAAAAATATCGTCAACAGCAGGGTTCGAACCTGCGCGGGCGAAGCCCAACAGATTTCAAGTCTGTCTCCTTAACCACTCGGACATATTGACTTTTTGTTAGGTTTCTCTATGTCTTTAGATATAACCTAGTTGTCAGGAAAACCAAACTCTACATTTTACACCATTCTATCACATGATACGACCACGCTATATTCGAGGATACAACACTTTTTGTTTAGTCATGTGTCAAATAACATATCTCATTAAAACTGGCCAATCCTGTTTTAAAACTTGATAAATCACATCAGTCATAAAAATAAAATAAAATTTGGAAAAAAAAAACTTTCTATTTTACACGAAAAAATTATAGATTTATCCTTAATTTAGATCAAACTTATTTACCTGAAGACTCGTTCTTTGTTACACTTGTGCCCACAAATTTTCTTTCAATTTAAGGTGGTAAACAAAAAAAAAATAGAAGCAAAGTTTAAATATCAAAAAGTTAAAACGCAATCCCAAATATTTTCTTCCCTCTTTTTTTTTTTACCATTTGCATTTTGCGGAATACCGAAGAAGTCCTGTTTTGAAAAAGGAAAAATTAAGGTAATAAGCAAATCCGATGAATCCTAGTCTGTAAAATTCGATGCAAGAGGTAACAACATATCGATGCGTGGAGTTAAATGTCGGCGTTAAAGAGCCGTAGTAACTCGTTAGCCGGACTAAGTCTAGACGCTGTGCTTGGCGGCGAGATCATTATACAACCGTCATCTCCACCGTCGCCACCACCTTTGCCATCAAAATCTCTTGTGCCCCACCACCCAACAAGCCAAACGCTTTTCGATATCATACGTGAGGAATACGCCAAAGAAGGGCACAAAGATCGTACCACGTGGCAAATATTCCGTGAGAAACTCCGACTCAAACGAACCGGTTCTGCTTGGACCTCGTCTCTTCTTATCCCTGCTTCGGATATCCTTATCCCTAATCCCAAACACCTTGGAACAGCGTTCCGGTCACAATCCGCCGGTTTAGCCAACGTTAACATCCGTGAACTAGTGAACGTCATTCCGATGTCAGATCCACCTGGTTCTTCAGGACGCGCTATGTTCACGCGCGGATCTTCAATGCGGGTCGGGTCGAGTAAAAACCCGGACGACTCACCTGACATCAACATTTTAGGCGATGGACCACCGTCTAGGAGCTTTAAACCGCAGTTATCACGGCACGATTCCGTTAGAGATCACAGTGACGGAGAAGAAGATACGAGACGCCGTCATCCGATCGTCACGTTCGTGGAAGAGAGGCAGATGTCGGCGAGAGAGGCGGTTGCGGCTCAAGAAGCTGCGGAAGCGGAAGCTGCGGCGGCTGGAGGAAGCGAAGATGAAGATGACGATGACGACAATGAAGAGGACGATTCAGGAGAAACAGAGGAGAAGAAATCATCGTCAGCTTCTGCACCGAAGCAAACGATGTCGTTGATGGATCTGTTGGAAGAGACAGATCGACAGATGGGGTTAACAGGATCAAGATACGCCATGGATGACGATGAAGAGTACGAAGAAGACGAAGAAGATGAGAATTACGAGGAAGAAGGAGATGGTCACGATGGTGGAGAAGGAGAGCTTAGCTGCTGCGCTTGCATGGTGAAAATCAAAGGCGCATCTTTCACTCCTTGTGGTCACACGTTTTGTAAGCTCTGTTCTAAAGAGCTTATGGCTCAGAAAGGCCATTGTCCTGTTTGCAGCAGCTTCGTCGTTGAGTTCCTTGAGATCTTTTAGAAACAAATTTTGAAACTTTTTGTTTATTTCTGGTGAAATTTTGAAACTTTTTATTTTCCTTGGGAGAAACTGTTACATCGTCAAACAAGTCCCAAATCTTTTATCAGACCATCTCTGTTTAAACTTTGAGCTTAGCAATGGTTTACAAGGCGGTTGAGACGCGGACATTCATCAGGTTGTCTAACAATGTAGATCTGATCTCCAACTTGACTAGACGAGTCTTGATTCCTATACCATGTCCATAGTGCCCATGTCTCGTTCTTCATCTGCATTGTGATTAATACTTTTTTTTAATTAGACTACTTCAGCTTAACCTCTGTTTCGGTGCGTTTGAAGAGTTAATTGAATCAGTACCTCTAGGATTCCATGGCCAAAGCTGCTTTCCCTCATGGCACTATAATCAGGTTGCCGATCCCAACAGAATTTACCAGACGGGGTGAAGTTCCAAGCGCAAAACCCACCCATGACTGGATCTGGCGTGGTTAAAGGGTCAGGACATTTACCAGGTTCATCAGCATGCTCAATCGCCATCTTTTCACGGTTACCTCCATCACCAACCACAATGTAAACTGGACCACACGGGTCTAGTTCGTAATTGTAAACTCTGTTCGACCGTTCATAAGCATGTACCTGGACAAATAAGTATTCACAAGAAAACAGAACGGTCAATCATATGAAATTGAATGGGAAATATAAGAGACAGCTTTTTGGGTTGAGTCTTACATGTCCGTTGAAGACAATGTCGGTACCATGAGAATAAAGTAGTTCCTCTAAAGCTTCTTTCATGCATTCCGCTTCTCTGTAATGCGCTGTATAAGAACTATACCAAGGTGGATGCCAAGAAGCTACCAACCATGGAGTTACCGATCTATCCACTTTAGCCAAATCCTTCTTTAGCCACTCATATTGTTCCGCTGCATGAAACAAAGAGAGAAATCAAATCTGTAAATGCGAGTGAAAACATGTAAACTGTCTGAGGTCAGAGCTAGAGAATATTGAACCTGATTTGTCATAAGCAATGTAGGCACCGAGCATTATAAAGTGAATCCCACCAGCGTTAAAAGAATAATAGAGCGTGGAAGACGAGCCGCTCTCTTTAAAAGGGAAAGCGAATCTTGAACTATAAGCTTCAAACGTCCTGTTCTCGGCTTGCTTTTCGATCTCATGGTTCCCTTCAATCACCATCAAAGGAACTTTAGAAGTCAGATCCTCCATAAACCTACCCCAATAGTCCCAACGTGGCTGGTACGTCTCATGTATAGGTGTCTCGGGGAAAGAGCAAGAATAGCAATCAGAGCTAGTCCCGTTTGTTAGATACAAGTTTGCATAACTCACATCGCCGATCAATAAAACGAGATCCGGAGAATTATGAATCAAGTGACTAATTGTATCCGTTGTGTTATAAGTGAGACCAAGATCACCCACAACCGCTATTCGACCAGGATAACTCAAGGGAGTAGAAACCGGCATTGTCCTGAAATGGTGTATCTTACTCATAGCGTGTCTTGATGGGTCTCCACATCGATAGTAATAGACAGTACTTGGTTTCAGCCCTGCGATAGTAAGTAGACAGTGTACTTGGTTTCAGACTCCAATCTATAAAAGCTAAAATGAAGATGAAGAAACAAAAAACAGAAGAACCTGTAATGCGAACATGGTGTATGATTCCAGACGTATAGTTAAGGAGACCATCGAAAGGATAAAGTTGACTATAAACAAGTGAATGTCCTTTGGCTTCGTGACTCAGTGAGTGCCTCAATGTCCCGAATTGGACAATACTGTTGATACTTGTCGGATCTAATGGCTTCACGTTCTTTCCGATTTGGTACTCACCTTTGAAAGACAAACACTAGTTCGTTAAATGCAAAAACCTAAGTCATTTATTTATCAGCTTGCATCAGAGTTATAATAAGATTCTAACTTTTGGTTGAAGTAACTAAACAGAGTGATAAGGTTCTTCCTCTTATGTCAGTCAGATATAGCTAGCATTTATTATTACATAAAAGAACACTCTTCTTTAAGAGGAAGTGTTTTTGTTTTTTTTTTCTTTTATAAGTAGATGGAATAAAATTGAAGAGAATGATTAGAAATCACGTAATTAATAAGGGAAGATCACGTAATATTTCAGTAAAAAGAAAAAGTGATTAAAGGTAGTAAAATGAACCTGTGATCCAAGAGACCCAGATGGAATCGTGATCGGAAGATAGGGAGATAGAAATCTGCTCGGGCTCGAAACCGGTGACACGACGGCGGACGCGGGGATCAGTGTCGGGCAAATCGATGGCTTTTCCCCGGAGAGAGGTGTCCAACGGCACCGTCACCGGAACGAAGGGCCCGTCCAACGTTGAGGGGATATAATCGGCGGAGAAGATGGCCGGGGAGAGAAAGGAGAAGAGCAGAAGTAGTAGAAACGTCATCGTTTTTTCACAGGGTGGTGGTGGTGGTGGCGGAGCTTTTCATTGTGGTGGGCGGGTTCCGGCTTTTTGTTTTTTAATTGTTGGCGTTAAGGGGTATTCTGGGAAAAGAAGGTCCCCGGTTAAATAGTCATTATCGTTATATGATGCAAAGTCTGGAGAAACGTAACATATAATATCGAAACTAAATAACTATTAAAGGAATTCTATGTGATACACTATTTTATACTATAGTTTTGTGTGTATTATGTATACGTGGAGTCGATAGAGGAGTTACACCGGTGACGTTTTTCCAATCTTGGACAGTGGAGAAATCTTACCACAATGTGTTTGTGTCTTTCTGCTTTGTATTTTTGTGGATGTTTTTTAAAGAGGTTCTAGTATCCCTTGTCAGTATAGCAATTGAGTTCATTAAGTATAGTTTGTGTTAAGTGTCTTTGCTGGATTAACTAGACGAAGCCCACTCGCATACAATCTCCATTAGGAAAAGAAAAAAAAAACTAAAATCGAGTTAAACCGAGCGCAAACCAGACTAAACCGAAAATCACAAACAAAAACTTTGAATAATGTAGTCGGAGGAAAGTAAACTGGTTTCGCACAACTCTCACGTCTAGTACTTTATCCCGATTTCGATTTTCGTCATCACTTCTTCATTCGTTAATCGCTCTTCGCCGGAGCTCAGCGTTATACTCATGTAATGCCCGATCCGTGGTAATTACAAGTCAGTGACCTACTCCGGCGTTTATCTCTGAATCTGATTATGGCTAGCCTTGTTCGATCCTGGATCCCTTTGTTAGTTTTGCAATCGTTTTTGTTTGCGATCGCTTTTGGATCGACACAAGTCGAAGAATTCAGCGAAGCATTGCTGTTGAAGCCTTTGCCTGATCGAAAAGTTTTAGCTCACTTCCATTTCGAGAACCGAGCTCCTCCCTCGAATTCCCATGGCCGCCATCACCATCTCTTCCCAAAAGCTATTTCTCAGTTGGTAAATAACCTCTTCGTTTTTCCTATTATATGAACTGAGATTAGATATCAGGGAGGAATGTTTCTTAGAAATTAGGAGGAATTTTTGCTCATTCGGTTTTCCCTGGAACCGGAGATTTTAGCTTGGATGTGATTAGGTCTTCACGAATTTGCTCTTTCTGATCTATGTTGGAAAATTCTAATTTAAAATTTTGTACCAACTGTTTCAAATTAGCTTCATTTTGAGATTTTGAGTAGCAGTGATGTTGAATTTATGAGAGTAACCCGAGTTTGTTACGCCATTTGTATCAATATTCATTTTCCATCAGGTGGAGTTTAGTGACCTGTTCTCGTGCAAGTGTTTTCGTTTTCTGTAATCTCTGAAATGTGAATTCTGAAACAGGTTCAGAAATTCCGGGTCAAGGAGATGGAACTATCTTTTACTCAGGGTCGTTGGAACCATGAACATTGGGGAGGATTTGACCCTCTATCAAGTATGAATGCAAAGCCCGTTGGGGTCGAGCTATGGGCTGTGTTTGATGTTCCTCAGTCTCAGGTTGACACTTCTTGGAAGAACTTAACTCATGCACTTTCAGGGCTTTTCTGTGCTTCCATCAACTTTCTTGAATCTTCCACTTCTTATGCTGCTCCTACATGGGGATTTGGGACAAATTCAGACAAGCTGAGGTATGGTTCACTGCCACGTGAAGCTGTTTGTACTGAGAACTTGACCCCATGGCTAAAACTGCTTCCATGTAGAGACAAGGATGGCATTTCTGCACTAATGAATAGGCCATCTGTTTACAGAGGCTTTTATCATTCTCAGAGATTGCATTTATCCACGGTTGAATCTGGTCAAGAGGGATTGGGTTCTGGCATAGTGCTGGAGCAATCTCTTACTGTTGTTCTTCAGCCTGATACTACTTCTATTGAAACAAATATACAACCCAGTTGGTCCCTTAGCTCCCTCTTTGGGCGAAAAGTAGTTGGGAGATGTGTTCTTGCAAATTCAAGTCATGTGTATCTTCAGTTGGAGGGTCGTCTTGGTCAGGAATCAAAGAACGTGGATACAGAGATAGAAGCACACAAACTCTGGAAGAACGCAGATTTTGAATTGTCCTTTAAGCCAGACAGGGTTCTTCGAGAAAGCAGCAGTTTTCTCTTTATCTTTGATATTGACAATGCTAGTGACAGTGAGCCATTTGATCTTGGCCTTACTTGGAAAGTTCCCTCAAAGTGGTCATGTCAACAAGCTCCATTGCACGCAAGTCGTTTTTTGATGGGGAGTGGCAACGAAAGGGGCGCAATAGCCATCTTGTTAAAAGCGACAGAATCGCAGGAGAGTTCACCTGTCAGAGAACTCACTGATGGACGCTGTACAATAAAAGCAAATGTTTTCCAGATTTTCCCATGGTATATTAAGGTTTACTATCATACCTTACAAATTTTTGTGGATCAACAACTGAAGACAGACAGTGAAGTCTTAAAGAAGATCAATGTCTCACCATCTACTGATAAGGTGTCATCTGGCATGTTGGAGATAATGCTGGAACTACCATGTGAAGTGAAATCTGCAGCCATATCAATCGAATATGATAAGGTGGTCTTTCGTTCTCCATTACATTCCAATTCACTTAGCATAATTTGATTGTCAACTACATTGATCTCGTGTTCCTAAATACTGTTTGTTGAACTAATTTGGGTCTGAACATTGCTCAACAGGGTTTTCTACATATAGATGAATATCCCCCTGATGCTAATCAAGGATTTGACATTCCATCGGCTTTGATAAGCTTTCCCAATCATCATGCTAGTTTAGATTTTCAAGAAGAACTCAGCAAATCGCCCTTAATATCAAGTTTTAAGGTAGAGAACTGATATAACACAACACTCTTAGTTAATACCCCTCTGCTTTTGTCCCCTAATTTAAATACAATACTTTCATTGTTTCTTCTGGTCTATTGCAGGAAAAATCCTTAGTTCGTTCTTACACAGAAGTATTGCTCGTCCCTTTGACAACTCCTGATTTTAGCATGCCCTACAATGTAATCACAATCACATGCACCATCTTCGCATTGTATTTTGGATCATTGCTCAATGTTTTACGTAGACGAATCGGTGAAGAAGAAAGGTTTCTCAAAAGCCAAGGTTAGTCACCATTGTTGTGTGAGTAACCCTTGATTCTAATGACACATTTATGATTGTTCTGTTTTCTCCAGCAGGAAAGAAAACAGGTGGGCTAAAGCAGTTATTATCAAGATTCACGGCCAAGATTAGAGGGAGACCAATTGAAGCACCATCATCAGAGTCGCCTGCAGCTAAATCTCCGTTCTTGTCTAGTAAACTTATTTTCAAAATCATATTAGTTGCAGGAGCTGCTGCAGCTTGGCAATATTTTTCCACGGACAAGTAGGCTTAAAACTTTGAAAAAGAATGCCAGTTGTACCATATGTGTATCGACAAGGTAATTTTGGACCGTGTAAGATTTGCTCTTAGAGTTAGAATTATACATTCTCGTTTAGTCAAAAACTTCAGAGACAAAAAACTATTACATGCTCGATTTCTACATTGTCCTTCTCATCTTATCTTCTTACAAAATGCAGAAGCAATCATATCATCTTCTCTTCTCCTCTTCAGACCCTCATTACTCTTGAAACTGCACGTCACGGGCGTTTTAGAAGCGCTCCCGCTCCCACAAAAACTATCATCCATGATGAATTTTAGTTTCTTGTGTGAGTGTGGATCATCAGACAATAGCTTTCTCTTGTTACATTCAGAGATCAGAGATTCTCCTACTGATGAAACCGAAAAGACAGATTAAACTCAGACACATAAATCTTAAAACTACATGGTGTGACAAAACAGTTCATACCTGAATACTTAAGTTTCAACTTCTTCGTTTTGATTAGATCAAGATCACCATCGCAGGTCAAGTCCTCCTGAGGATCAGAGTGTGCTCCTGGGAACAGGAGATAAGATATACTTTTAGACAGAGTTTGAATTGAAATTTTCTTGTCAAAGCAAAGGAAGAAACTCACTTTTGGTACCGAGTTTAGAGAGCTTGCCGTGGACGAGGAGGGCATCGGCTTCGTGTTTTCCAGTAGACAGGCCTTTAGCGGAGAAGAAAGCGAGCAAAGACTGCCATGTGACGCAAGTGGCCATTAGATCAATACCTCTGCTTATGAAGTGACCATTGAGCTTCACCGTCGACGGTTCGAGCCCAAACGCTGCGGCTATGGCTCTAAAGTCTAGTTTCTGGTCGTTCCAAGCAACCCACTCAACAATCTTCGATACGGAGGGACATAAAAGTTTGATCTTCCTCCAACCTGTGTCACCCGCCATCTCTCTCTCTCTCTCTTCCAATAACGAATTCTGTGGAGTTTTCTGGTAATATGCTCTGCCACAACGGTACCCTTGTAGACTTCTGATGAAGACCTTCGAACAAGAACCTTCCAGCGTTAGAGAAAATTAGGTCCAGACTTTGTTTAGATGGGCCTGTAGAATTATGGGCTTTTTATATCTAGCATTGTGGATTCTTGTGTCAAAATAATTAACGCTTAGATCTGATCTTAACGGTGTGGGTTTGGTAATTTGGTCGTCTCCGTGTCATATTAACTTTTATGAAACCGGGTTGAAATATAATACGCGCCTCGGTGACTGGATCCCAATCTGATATTTACCCTTTTACCCCCAATGAATAAATTAACTTTGTTGTTTTAATTTTTGTTCTGAATTTTTTTCCAAAGATTTCTATAAATTTAAGGTATATGTTACACAAGTCTTAAAATTCCTAAAACTACAGACAGGCTCCCATCAATCTCTACTACTACACTCGGAAATCTAAACACAGATAGATGTTTGACAAACATAAACATATAAATAGAACTTCCAAAAAGGCAAATTCTAATCAATTTTTTTAAAGGCCGGAATTGGGATTGTCTCCTGCGAGGATAAGAGAGATCTCGAGCCCTCGACTAAACGCTTGGTTAAACATCATACGTGTTTGGAAGGTCGACACAAAAGGGAACCACGCACATAGAGCAACGGGAAGAAATATGAGCATTCCCATCAATGCATCGTATAGTCTTGCTAGGGAACGGATCGATTTCCACATTCCAATTCGTTTTATGACTGGCTTCCAAGCACACGCAATCTACAAATAGAGAGGATATGTTTGTGAAATTATGACTCTGCAAAGATGAGAAAGAAATGAAGGTATCTCAAGTGACAAGAAGAAAAACTTACACAAAGGATTCCCCATCCTGTCGGTATGAAGGCCAGTACGCAAGCAAATATGTCTATTACTGACAATTTTGTTAGCACAACCGCTACGATTATGCCAGCCAGAGCCAGCAATAAGGAAAGGCCTTGTATAAACCTCAGTAAAAGCTGGAAATTGACAGAAATCTTCTGGCTGAAGGTAAAGACCTATTTTCATTGTCCAAAGAAAACAAGGGAGATATCTCAGATCATGCAATACAATTTAGTCAGATGACTAAGGTTATTGGAAAACGAAGCATGTTGATGGAATAAACCGACCTTGAAAAGTACTATACTCATCGCAAAGGCAACCCAAGACCAACCATACACCTGCAGATAGATAAGTAATATTATTAGCTGCTTTCACAGAAAAGACCATATAGCAACCTGTTGCAAAATCATAAATGATTTCTGCTATACTTCAACTAGTTAACAACGAGGAACCAAGACGTGGAAAAGATACAAGTAGTCAATGAAGGGAAACATTATACCGCAAACGATGTATCTGATCCTTGCAGCTCTAGTTTGTAGACAATACCATACTGGAAGATAAAGAATCGTAGACTTAAAATAGTCTCCATTATCCTCCCGCTCAAAGTCCGAATGTGAGACTGTTGACGTACAAATATAATTAGTATGTCCGAATCAGGCAGAAAAACAAGTAAGAAATCCCGGACTCTGAAAGTGAACTGTTACAGCCTGTAGAGCATTAGTTCTTACCAGTTCTTCTTCCCACCAAGCTTCCCAGCTTTCAGCTCCTTTCACTCCAATTCCACCTCTGTAAAAGAGCCAGTTTGTCCATTCTTTGAAGTCCTCCACGACTCTGAAAGGAGAACATAGATCTTGTTCAATAAGAGAACATGTTACTCAACCGGATATAAATGAGATAGCACCACTTACTTCTGCCACTCGAATCCTGCAGGGTTGAACAGGTACGGAGCAAACAGCCAAGAAACAGCCAAAAACCAGCTGCTAACAGTCAGAAGGATGTAGGAAACGGCACCAGATTCATCATTGCCATATGCAAGGTAGACAACCAATAAGAGGATAACCTCCATCCTAGAGAAAAAGAAAAGTAGCAGATCAATGAATTTTCAATCTCTTACTATGGCTAAAACAGGTAAACATTAATCATGTATATACATAAAAGCTAAAGAGTATACGAGGAGTTCACCCTTTGACAAAATGACTTCGGGAATAAAGACGGTAGTTTTCAGAAAATTTGATATGCTTGACGACAAAGCCTCTTCCAGTGGCTTGGTACTGTTGACAAACACAGTTCATCACATTCCATACGATATAGAGAGATAAGAGATTTAACAACTGAGAATGAGAATATACCCTTGCACCACCATGGAGAATTGTCCGTCCAAAATAATGGGTTCTTGTGCCAAGGGAAAATGTGAAGAAGACAGTACATAGCTGAAATTGCATTGTTATGAAACTCACAATGGCCTACACAAAGAAAGATGGAGAAAATAAGTTCTATTAACACAAAAAATTAACAAGCTAACTCAGAACACGTGTCAGTATCAAGTAAATGACTAGTTAACTATATGCCCATATCAAGTAAGGATCTCTTTATAGAAATAAAACAAAAGAATACGTTTATTCAGGACAATAGAGTCTGTCTCCAGAATACAGTGAATTACAAAGAGTCAGACGAAAGAAGCTTAAGAGAGATAAATTCCAAACTAACATCAAAACATTATAAAGAAAACATGTGACTGTGGATAAAGTATACAATACAATAATCAAGAAAATTAACAAGCTAATTCAGAACACGTGTTAGTCTCCATGGAAATTTTAACACACGAGTCCCTGTCAATCATATGCGAAAATATGGCATAACAATATGATCTGACTAAAATGGTGGAGAACCAGTACCTGGAGAAAACCCTGTTCCAAAATAAATCCCAAAATCATTGGCACAGCAGTGAAGACACCAATCTGAAACAGAAACTGAGCATTCAATGCGGCGCTAAGTGCAGTATCATCCAGAAGAATAGCTCTTTCTCGGATAGTAGCTCCAACTCCAGAAAGTGCCTATAAAGAATCAAACACAATTAGGGTTATAATACCTTCACCCAGGATCAATATGCACGAATAAGCCGAACAATAATCATTTATGAAGATAGCACATGCATCATAGCCAACATCAGGTAGTTATGCTTACCAGATATGCCCTCCCATATAAGAAAATATACACAGTAAGCACCGTCAGCTGCAAAAGGCCATAAATCAATTCATCAGCTTGATTTTCCTGGAACTTATCAGTAACAGCTCCCAATACAAGGGGCAAAATTGGAGTGGAACACAGAGTTTCATAATCGACTTGTCATAAACTTTTTCTATAGAGTTGATTGCTAAGTGTTCTTATTTTTCTATAAACTTTTTCTATACAGTTACTTCTAGATGCAGGTGTCAACTTGAAACCTAAAGGCAAAAAATCACTATGACACAAGAGGGTCTACATACCATTGTACAGAAGTAGAAGCCAACCGTTGTAAAGTAGAATGAAAGCATCCGGAAGAAATCAAGGAGCTGTCCCAGTCGGTATACATCCCGACTAAGAACCTGTTCACCATTCCCACCAGCAACCTTTCCTTCAAACAGCGCAATTTGATTGAGCCCAACATCTCGCCCTTTGCCCACCTGTAAATAGAAATTAATGCATATATATTTATTAATTTAACTGTAAAGAGTTAAAAAGTACGGACCTGAATATACTCATGATGAGTAACATTCCCTTGACGTAGAGTTGAGTTGAAACCTGAAAACAATAGCATTATAGGATTAACATTTTTCATGTGAAAGAAATTTAGATAAAAAATGGCTCAACATTCAGAAATTCACTAAATCATTCATGCATTTTTTTTACTGTCTTAAAACACCCATCAGCTATGAAAGCAACTGTCAATTAACGAATCGACTTTACCAGCAAAAATATCTTCACTAATATTGATGACCCGAGAGGCCTTGCTGATACCACCACGTGTGATATGAAAAACTCTATCAAAGACATCTGGATGACCATAATGCATGCGGATCCTAGAATTCAGAAATAATCAATTAAGGATTCAGTCTGATTTAGCAGTTCAAGGAAGATAAAACTTATTGGTAGTAGCTTACTTTAAGGGTTTCGCCAATACTCGTTGACCTAAGGTCACAAAGCTGGTTTCTTGATTGGACATGAAAGAGGCCAAGGAGGAGACACTGCATATTTTCGCACACAATGTAAGGTAATGGTATAAAATAAGTAGATCGATATATGAATATCTGGGTCACACCTTCCAGTAAAGACATGTTCCCTAACTCCAAGAATGGTAGGTGGTCGAATTCCATGGTCCCGTTCAAATTCTTCCAAAAGATTTCTCATTTTCAAGGCTTCTTCGAAATAATTATCCTAACAAATAAGGAAAAAAAACACAGAGAACATGATGCTAGAGGTTGGGGATGTAATTAGCCCTCGTATATAAACATAAAAAATGTCAAGCACGCATGTACATATGATAGAAGATTCAGGTACATTCACCTGTGATAAGATGTCCAACTGAAAACTCAAATGTAACAGTATGTGCTTTTCAGTAAGGAACCATTTTTCTATGTTAGCAAAAGAAACTGAAGTCTTCCTACTCAAGAATTATGTGTTTTAAGTTTGAGCGTCAAACTTCAAAACAAGGCTAGGAACCACTCTTTGTTAGTGAATTTCATATTATTTGTACTTGCTAAAATATGTGCTTACTTAGAATTGTGCAAATTTTCACTTTGGTCCAAGAAAGAGAATAAATCTTATTCGAATGTCACATATGGTCAAATGATGCCGAAGTAAAATTCTACCTAGTGATGCCTTAGGTTTTTTATAGTTATAAGAGGAAATCAACTCAATAAATTAAAATTACATGGATTAGACAAGGTATTGGTAATGCTCGGTTAACCCAATCAAACTACAGCTACATATGATATGTTTAAGCTGGTTTTCCAATTCTCAACATCTCCTACAGTCAGATATCTCAATTAGACATGTGCATGAGCTATGAAGCACTGTTGTTCTCACAGCCTATTTGTATTACTTACTATCTAATTTTCAAACTATTAATCTTACTATTCTTTACAAAGCCTATGTATTTCTAATCTACTTGATTGAACTTCCACAGAAACTTAACTATATGAACCCACACAATCTCAAAAGAATGCATTTAAATCAAAAATATGCCAAGAGAAGACTTGCATCCTAACCTGATTCATATCAATAGTTTGGATTGCATTTCCACGAGTAAATACAATGGCGTGATTTTGATTCTCAGGTTTGCCTTCGCCAAGTTTTGGGTCCCCAGGT